TTTTGTTGGGTTGTCTTATCTTAGGGACGACGTGGTTGATAGCCTGTTTGCACTGAGATCTAGTCCACGAATCAACCAAGAACATCATTCGGTAAATTCATTTCTAATTCTATTTTGCCTCAACAGTCTGTTTTTAAGTTAAGCAGTACAGGCCTCGGCTGATCGTTTGTTTAATTACTACAGTATATATACATATATATATGTATGTATATAACCCTATCTTGGATTTCTTGGTTTTAATATCTATAATTCAAACAAATTAAAATGCAGATCGGGAAGAAGATGAAGACGAAGATGATTATAGTTTTTATATTGTTATCARTTTACGTAATTAACCCACATAACGTAAATGCGGTGGGTTTTGTTGGAGGTATCGTTCGTGGTATCATTAAACGTTGCCCAAGACTAAAATGCGATGAAGTTGTTGGGGCAGGGCATGATGTTTATAAGGCGGTTACGAGTCCTCCACCTCCTATTCGATTTCATGCTTGTAATCTTCCTTGTGCTCGTTCTAATCCCCCTACTCTTGCTTGTCTCCATGCTTGTCGTCGCTTTTTTCATCACCCTTAAGCAAAAGATCGTGTGAGAAGAAAAGTTAAAATGAGAAGCGTAAGAAAGGATCCGGACTCTTGATCACCTTTAATCTCAAACTCACCTATGAGTTTGTGGTTTGTTTTTTTATGTATAATTATTACATGGAAAAATTGTTGTATGTGGTACTATCTTTCTGTATTTGTGGCATGGAATCTATAAAATTTTGTTGTTTATTTCTTGTGTTGAATAAATTGTCTTAATAAGTTGTTACGTTGTTTATTTTGTTTTTTGGGTAACCAATGGGTTTCTGGGCGAGTTTACACGTAGCAATTAATCCCCCAAGAGATAACGAATTGCTTGAAATCATTGCAAATGAACCATCATGGTTATAAGGGATTTGGCAGCTCTTTTATTCGAACCAGGRTAGATGAGATTTTTCGCTGCATCTCCTGAGGCTTAACCAGTGTACCACAASCCAAGTGGTTATTATTTTATCTTTTCATTGAACTCATGTTCTTGTGTTATGGTTCAACAACAAATTATAAAAGGATTATCACAAGTAATTTGTCTGGTATGCACATGTGCATAACAAACACACCACAAAACATGTTCAATTACTTGTATTCATACGTGTATATCGTACGGATGAATGGTTATTAAAGTGTTTTTCAGTTTTTCAGTTTTCCATTTTTGGAATTTTCCACTGAATCTCGTCCGTATAAATCGACATGTTGTATGAACCCATTGATTGAGTCGAAGATTTTAGAGCCCTAAAATCAAAATACTGTGAAAAAACAATAATTGAGATATCAACTGTGAGACGGGTATACATATGATAGAAAGTGAACAATAATTTGATTACTTATATTTAAAACTGATGTTTTTTCAACGTTGACAAGGAAAATGTCATTGATACAAGATACTGAAGACCCGTCAAGTTTACTTTTTGAATCAGCAAAAATCATTGTTCCATTATTTTTTTAAATTACGTAGAATTTGTTCATTTGATGGATATGTTTTTTTTTATTGTAAAAAAGAATCAAGATGAGAATGGGATCGAATGAGAGGGTTTTTTTAAGTATATAATATTTATATACGACAAATAAAACAAATAAATCCACACACCCTCCTCACTTTTTTGTGAGGTTTGAGTCTCTTACCTCCTCGGAAGTCAAAGACTCACATACTGTTAGGCGAAAGACCCTTTGGTGGCTTGGATGAGGTTGGATTGGGGGGGAAGGGGAATTTGTGTTTGGGGCAGAGAGGCTAGTTGCAAGACGATCGTTGAATTCACGTTTCTGTGGAATTTTCTATTTTGAACACAAATTCCTTTAAAAAAAATTAATCGATCTTTTGGTAGCGTCCGATATCAACCTTCAATGAAAATCGAATTGTCTTCCTACACGTTTTTCACTTTTGTCAACCAAATCCTTCTCTCTCTCTCTATATATATATATATAGAGAGAGAGAGAGAGAGAGGAACGTTCAAATAAAAACTTGCCCCATTTATGTAAACCGTGTAAACCAATCTCATCCATCCATTTTCTTGATCAATGACTAAGATTAGTTTATTTTATTTTAAGAAATTAAAAAATAAAAAATATTAATATTTTATTTTATTTCAATACTAAGGGCAAAATTGGTAAACAAAAATAAACCATTTTATAATGAAACCTTTTCACATTGAAACAATTTTATGAACATTAATTTCATAAAGAACAAAATATAATATGCACTCGTTTCATCATACATTTATTTCATAAAGAACATAATACATTATGCACCCGTTTCATTTTCATCCTACCAACTAAACGGATCAACTTCAATCACAAAGCAACATGGAKCACCATGAAACTAGATCATGAATCATGAATCAATTAGAACATCAACATTTTTACCATCATGAACCTATTTCATTAACATGTAAAATATGCCTAAAAGAAACAAATAAATCATTTTACAATGAAAYTTTTTCACATTGAAACAGTTTCATGAACATGGATGATTTTTTTCCTCCAACCTTAAATCAAGATTTCATTCCATAAGAAGCTAGAATCTTCATACCACGTTTCCAGACTCATTGGATAACAAAAAATTAAAATCTAGTTTTTAATATTATAATATAATAAAAAATTTAAATGTTACCATTTATATAATTTCCATTATTAAATTTCTTTATTTAATATTTATTAATAACTTTCTTATTTATCAAAAAAATATGAAAAATGACCGAAATACCCTTATTGATTAAATTTAATTATAAAAAAAATAAAATTTTCCTATTGGTCGAAATTGGTTTATACGGTTTCTTAGAATTGCATGGTTTTCATTTGAACATGCCCTTATATATATATATATATAAGTCTAATCAAATGAGAATTTGATAGTATATGGTAACTGTGAGATCTAATATAAACCAATTAATTTACATAATTAATGTTATTTATTAAAATAAAACAAGGGGTAAATTAATAAATTGTGTTGATTATTCAATTTATTTTAATTAGTTTAATATTACAATTGTTTTAATTAGTTTAATTATTTTAATATATGTATATATACACAAACACACAGAAACACATGAACCAAATCCGATGGCCTTCTCTGGCTCCCATCACCACTTCAGTGACCTTCTTCGGTTATTTTATCTGATCAAGACGCCGTCTCCGATGATCGACTACTAAACATCCACTTGTGACAATGATACACAAATTAATCAGTTTTTTATGAAACAAGTGATTGATTGGTCGTTGTCGCAAAGTGAAGTGTAGATTCCAACGTGGCAAGAAAGACAAGACTCTCTCTTCTTCTTCTTTCTTTTTTTTTAATTTTTATTTATTTTTATTTTTTCTTTTACCTAACGTACTTAGGAGTAAATTCCATTTAAAATTAATTGTAAAATAATTTTTATAAATAAAATAAAATAAATAATTATTAAAAGAAAACAATTATACCATAATAATATTGTATTACGTATAATCTGTAACGAACGGGTTTCTTACGTATTTTTTAATCATAAAATTTTGATACATGTTCACGAGAACAATTAATAATGACCACTATTTAAATGATTCTGATTCATATCGAACCGTCAGTTAATCAAAACTCATAATGATTATTGTTAACGATTTGACAATGTAAATGACAACGGCAAGAATTTGCACACGGAACTCTACTTATTTGTGTTAAATACGGGATTGAAATGAAAGTTACAGATGACAGTTGTAATCGATTTATTAAAAGACTGTTTTTGTCCATAAATCACTTGTATCCATCAAATCATATATATATATATATATATATATATATATATATATATATACTATATTATAAAGTATTTGATAAAAACTCTTAAAAACCATTTTTTGTACATGAAAATATTGTTTATTGATGCATATTACTTAAAATTCAAGATTACAAGTAAATTATGTGTAAGTGCAACTTATTAAAGCTTTATGTTTGAATTCATGTAACTAACTGCAGGCAAACATAATCAAATAGAAGATAAACATCTCATTTTAAATATAAAAAATCTAAAATATAATTAAGATAATCATTAAGTTATCAAAATATTTAATTATTATCTTTATAAAAAATTATATTACTAACAAAAAAATGATTTAAAAAAATACAAAAAAATAAAAGAAATTTTAAATATTCAGTTTGGATATTTTTTTTTAATTTTTTTACGATATATCTTCATATTTATATTTTATTCAAAAGTTACCATTTTCTTAAAATTACATAAAACCGTATTATAACATCAATCGAGATAAAATAAATAAAACAAAACATTAAAATCAAGATGTATCTCCCTACACTTTGCGAGACTGCAAGTACCCTTCTATTATAAAGTATTTGGCAAAAACTCTTAAAAATTATTTTTTATGCACGAGCTACTGTTTATTGATACATATTAATTAAAATTCAAGATTACAAGTAAATTATGCATAGATACAACTTATTAAATCTTCAAGTTTTAATTCGTGTAACTAGCCACAGATAAACATAATCAAATACGGGATAAACATATAATTTTAAGTATAAAAAATCTAAAATATAATCAGGATAATTATTGAGTTTTAACAAAATACTTAATTATTATTTTTTATTAAAAAACATATTATTAAATCTAAATTAAATTACTTCGTTACATAAAGTTAAATAATAATAAAGATTTTGAATTAAAAAAATTATAAAAAAAAACAATTTTTAAATAGTTAATTTAATACTAATATCAATATATATATATATATATATATATATTAATTTGTATTCAAAAATAAAAAAGCATTATCGTATTTCTTAAAACCACATAAACCGTATTATATCGACATAGATAAATAATAAAACAAAACATTGAGATTGATATATACTTCGATGCATTGACACGAATACCTTTCTAGTATATATATTAAAGGAAAAACTCAATAGTGCTTACATGACATCTTCTAACATTACATTCCTCATTTCTCTTTTTTCTAATTTTTTTGATTTTTTTTAAATGCCGAATATAAGAAAAAGACCATTTTGTCCCTATATAATATGTGGTTCATTATGCATTACTTTTTTTTTGATAAATTTACATACATCTTGAACCCCCAACTCTCCATATGCCCATGATAAGCAAAACGTGGAGTTGCTTAATCAATAAATTTATGATAGAAATAAATAAAAGAATAGTTAATTTGATACTAATATTGATATATATATATTTTTTTAAATTTTATAATATTTTCAAATTTATATTTATTTAAAAATAAAAACATTATTGCTTTCTCAAAACCACGGAAAACCGTATTGTAACGAAACATTAAAATCGAAATATCTCGATATATTATACGAGTACCCTTCTAATATTTAAAAAAGTAAACGGTGGTTTACCTCGAAAACCAGATCCAAAAAAAGCCTGCATACGTAACGGTTTTTTATGTAATAAATGAAGAAAATTGATCAAATTCATAATAACTGACATACTTTAGGGACCAAATCTGTAATTTACTCTTTTTCATATAATTGACCATGAGGTATTAGAAAATTAAGATAGCTAAAAGTCAAGTTGGGTCTGCTAACGAGACACGTAGCTCGTAATTATGACACCTGACCCACGGCTGGGCCCCATCTTAATGACCCTTTCCAATAAAGCTGTTGTCTTAATAAAAAAAAACCTATTTAATTCATGAGATCTTAATTGTTTTAACTGTTGCCTGTTTTTTAAAAAATGCATATTATTTGATATAAAGTTTATAAGTTGATATGTATGATATGAAATGATTTTTATTTATATAAATTATGAACTTATTAAGTTTTATAAACTGACTATAATATACATTTTAGAAATAAAAGATTCAAGATTAGACAAAAAAAACACATGTAACAATCATTTAATTGTCTATTTTTTCCGGATATTAATTCTTAAAAACTATTTTTTATACACAAAGTACTGTTTATTGATGCATATTACTTAAAATTTAAAATTATAAGTAAATAATGCATAAATACATACAACTTATTAAATCTTCGTGTTTGAATTCGTGTAACTAACTGCAGATAAACATAATCAAATACTGGATAAACATTTTATTTTAAATATAAAAAATCAAAAATATAATTAGGATAACATTATGTTACAACAAAATACTTAATTATTATCTTTATAAAAAATTATATTATTAAATCAAAAAATTATTTCGTTATTAAAGTTAAATTAAATTATAATAGAAAAAATTGAAGTAAAGAAATTACGCAATAAAACAAAAACTTTTAAATAGTTAATTTCATACTAATATCAATATTTTTAAAATAAAAAATTAAGATATCTTCAAATTTATATTTTTAAAAACATTATCGTTTTTCTCAAAATAATATTAAACAATATTATAACATCGATAGAATACAGAATAAAACGAAACATTAAAATTAAAATGTATCTCACTACATTGTACGAATACCCTTCTAGTTTTTAATAATATATTTGCTCAAAAAAAAATTACCTCCCACAATTTTATAGTTGATTTATTAATAAAAAATGTGGTCGACTAATTTGTTTTTATAGTTTCATTATTTTACACCGAAAGAAGATCAAATAAATCAAAGGTGGGTCCCATTGAGGATGACGTGTGCCACTACACATCAAAAGCGTGAAACGTATTGGTGGATGGGTGAGGGTGCATGTACGTTACTGTAGGACGGTGTTTTATATTAGGAAACCTCAAAACGACAAAGTCAATGGAGGTCGACCCTCCAATTGTGGCGAAGCCTGATTGGTCGAACAGTGATTCCTCACCGAAATCTGACGCGTGTTGAACTATGCGTTAATTACCAAAACATTCCTTATAGTTTCATAAATTACAAAGTTGTCACCAAGTTTAAGAATTATTATGAAATTGACCAAATGTATGTTAGTGGTTCTAGATTTTTTTACAGGACAATAACATGTTAGGATTTTGGTTTTCTAGAGTTCTAAAATTCGTTTTATTCAATTTGGACTTTAATTGAAATAGAGATGGAACTGGGTTTTCGACTTAGTTTTAGACCTTAAATATCTTGGTGTAAATCTCGAATAGGTTCAAACAGTCGTGATCCCATGAGGGTGAGCTAACATCAAAAACCCGTCCTCAATTACGAAGATCAAGTTGATGAGTCGTGCGATGGAAAGCCTTCCTGCACGGTTCGGAACCGTGTAGGAGTCTTTCAACTCACACGACTCTTAAGTGATAAAAGAAAGAAGATTGAAGGAGAGTTGCCTTCGCGTAGTGAAACTGCTTCCGCCCATTTGGTGAAGTTAGCTTTTTTAGCTTTATAGTATAAATAAGAGAACAGTGAAGCGTAGAAGTCTGCTAAACGCCCACTTTCCTACAGCCGCAGGTTCCCCTATGACTTCGTCTTCCGCTCATAAGTAAGGCGACTGATGTTGATTTATGAAGGCGGATATTGGATAACTAAAGTTAAGGGTACTCAAGCATTTCAGATTCAAATCATTCAAAATTTATTTTGCATCGGGTGTATCAAATGTTTGAGTATTACTGTATCTTATTTTGATTTGATGTATTCATAGTCGATAATTACTTCATCACATTAACTTTTTGCATTTTCATACATATTATAATACGTGTTGTTTCATAAGAAAATGTTGTTTCACATATGAAAAAAATATCATATAAAAACTGGTGTTTCATATGCAAAATAACACAGGAGTTTAGATATTTTACAGTGTAGTGTTGTTTTCAGATATTTTACAATGCAGTGTTCTTTAACATGTGAAAGAACACATTTTTTACAAAGTTTATAATGTGGTATCGTTTAGTATGTGAAACTGACATCGGATTTTTACAGTTGTTTTACTCCGAATTTGTTGCTGTGCAATAGGAAAAAGCATCTAATCGGAAACAAAAACATTATACTGACTTGTATTTCATTTGGTAAAAGTTATATATTCTTCCAAATTTGTCGTCCAACACAATCGACCAGTTTATTTAAACCAAGAAAGTATTTAATATACATAATATTCTAATTCTCTCGAAAATAGAAACTAATAGAAAAAAGACCCTAAGATCTTCTGACTTTGCTATCGTATCCTTCGAGATCCTCTTTGTTCCTTTTTGAAAATCTTCTCGATGTCAGCTAGCGGACGCAAGCAGAGTGGGACCTTCTCCGATAGTATCTTTCGTCATAATATTGAAAGTTTCCCCGCCAGATGCTTTGTTAATTTAGAGTTGATATCAAGATGAAAGGGAAAGACAATAAGAAACATTCAAGATAAAGACTAGAAGAAGGGGCTTTCTTAGAAGAATTCCCACTTGGACTGGTAGTGAGAACCCGATCTCCATAAGCTAATTGGCAAGGTTCAACTTGACCGGAGCGGATCGCAACTCAAGCACAACTAGAGTTCACTCACCCACGTGCCCAATACTAATGAACTGGCTTTATCTCAAGGGAAATTATAGAACCATGAGTGGTGTAGCCTCCCACGTGACTGCACGTGTGCGACGTGAATCTTGAAACCACCACAACTGCAACTCCTTCTATTGGTTGATCACTCCAGGCCATGTCACTCCCTTGTTCCTCCCTGCACACTTCTTCGACCTCCGAGTAACCCTTTTTTCCCTTCCACATGTTCTGCTATCAACTTAAGTGGCACCACTGTTTTGGCAAGAATCTCGCCTACGGAGCTGCTGGTTAAAAGAGATTTTTTAGAAACACCACCATCACTAAACTCGAATAAAGACAACGCCACCCAAAACCATTCCTGATGTTTTCGAACCAAAATGAACTAGAGAAGTCGTCGAAACAAACTAAAGAACTTTAGTTCAGTTATGTAGGGTTTCAGACTATGCAAATTTACATCTGAAGTCGTCAAGACAAACCAAAACGGACCACACATACCAACTTGGTTTGCTTCAGTTCCGTTGTATCGTTTAAGTTTTAAACTTATGTTTTACCTAATAAACCAAGGATGACATTCGTAATTATCTTAAACACCAAGGGTAATTTATGTAATTAATTCTAATTAAGGTTAAGGAAACGACTCTTCCATATTTGTGTTCTCACATCTGTATGGGAGATGATTGCGTGTGTCCTCCCTTCATGTACCTCTTACACGTGTCATCATCGCAGTATCACTTTCGTCTTCGTTTTATTTCATACAACTATCATTCTCCATTAACACACACATCTGATTTATCGTGTGTTTTGAAGAACGCCAATGGAGTCTGAAGATGGAGATTCCAACCGAGTTGACTCGTCTGATTTATCGTCAACGAGTTCAACGGTATCGTCTATATTCGGAAGCAGCGATGTTGACTTTTCTAGCAGTTTCTCCATAACCAGCAGCTCCTCCGGCGAGATTCTGGCGGCGGCGGTGGTGCCACTTAAGTTGATGGCGGAGGTGCAACCGGCAGAAGGCGGCGGAGGCGGAACGAGGAGGTTGAAGAAGTGTGTAGGGAGGAGTAAGGGAGTGACTTGGGGATTTAAATCGGTGATCGGACGGCGGAAGGAGATGGAAGATGCGGTGGCGGTGGTTCCTGGATTCATGTCAGGCACGTGCGATCACGTGGGAGGGTGTACAACTCCTGGTTCTAGAACCTCCCTTGAGATCTCGCCGATTCATTTCTTCGGTGTTTATGATGGCCATGGCGGATCGCAAGTAAGCTTCCATATCCATCCTAATTTTCGGTTTTCAATTCAAATTATTTTATTGTGCAAATGTTAAAGAAAGATTCAAAATCCTTTAAAACCAGAATAATTATTTGGATGAAAGTAAAAATCTACCAACATTTCATAATTATTAATTTCGATTGAAATAACACACGTATAGGGCTGGGTTCACGTGATACCAGCCTCTTTGTGAGATCAGTGCACCACTTTTTATAGCAAAACGTTGTGAAGGTAAAAAAAATCGTTCACATCAAAAACACTATGTTGTAGAACGTTTTGCTATGAAGTTTTAAGCATAAATAATATCACAAGTCTCATAAAAACAAATTATTTTTATATGATCCTAAGTGTATATATATATATATATATATATATATATATATATGTATGTATATTTTCACATACATAACCTATCACTAGACTTTAGTGTGTTCAAATCTACGAAAATTGAAATTAAAATTTAGGATCATCGTGATATTTTCGTACATGTAACAAGACTCTCGATCAACTACAATACAACAAAAAACAAGTTAATTCGATACATTATATTAAAATATTACACAGTAAAACAATAAAAATATATATTAGATATATTTGAATAAAACCATTCTTTTAACTTATGCCAAAAGTCAAACTTGAAAATTGTCAAATAATAATAAAAGCTTAAAATTGATTATAGTTGAGGTTCAATAAAATTTTAAAGATCTCCTTTCATGTCTTAAGAATGATTTAACAGTTAAGGAATGGTTTGGTATAAAATGGTTAAGAGAATCAGAATTATTAAGTGTTGAATGAAATAAGGTTGTTTGGTAACCGTTCTATGAATAACAACAAATTATCATTTATAAATATTTAAAAAAATTGTAATTTATATTTACGGATACTTTTCAAAAAGAGAAAATTGAATAAGGAATCATTTTTGCCAGCTATGGGATTTGTGACACGTAGCATGTTTGGACTGGTCAACATCAATATCAATAGTACTTATCATTCTTCTTTGTTTTTAGCACACGTGTTTGGCGTTTCTCTTCCAAAATAATAACTAAAATTCATGATTATAAATAATTACACATATTATTTGAAGAGGTTAAAATTCAAATCTCATTAAAAATAAAAACTGTACATTGTTATCTGGCATATAGGGCTGTAAACGAACCGAACGAACACGAACGGATGCTTGTTTATGTTCGTTCGTTTAACTTAACCGAACAAACGAACGAACACAAACGGTAAACGAACGAACACGAACGGTAAACGAACGAAAATCTTTGTGTTCGTGTTCGTTCATTTAGAAATCAGATGTGTTCGTGTTCGTTTATGTTCGTTCGTTAACATGCTAAACGAACGGGCTAAACGAACATAAATAAATATTATTTGAATTCAAAGGAAGTAAACAAAAGATTATATATTAAATTTAATTTATAAACGCATATATTAAATTTAATATATAAACGAACGAATATAAACGAACGGTAAATGAACGAACGTTCATGAACATAAATGAACGAACGAGACTCTTGAACGAGACTCTTGTTCATGTTCGTTCATTTAACTAAATGAACAAAAAAATTTGTTCATGTCCGTTCATTTATTAAATAAACGAATATAAACGAACTTCCCGCCGAATGGTTCACGAACGGTTCGCTGAACATTCGGTTCGTTTACAGCCCTACTGGCATATATATATATATATATACACACACACACACAAACATTCATCATGAATGATGCATTATTCATGATGAATAACTAATAAAGGTGTGCAACAATGTCGCGCTCTCTTTTATCTCCTGAATAAGGATTCAAATGAAAATACTTGCATTTTAAGATAATTGGAGAACATAACTTCTTTAAACAAGATTCCTATTTATCGTTGAGTTTGATTGACTAGAAGATTGTTCACAAGATGACTATCAAATCTAATCAATTATACTAGTTGTTCACAACAGCAAAGGATCGTGTGAAAAAAAGAGTTAATGTGAGAAGCGTAAGAAGGGATCTGGACCCTTGGTCATCTTTAATTTCAAGCCCACCAATGAATCGCGTTTGATACGAAGATCGATCCGATGCATCTATCTAATGTGCATCCAAGGATGAAGATCCCTTATTACATTTTAACTCTCATTCTCACCGAAACCTAACATTGTTCACAACATGAATAACCAAATCTAATCAATTATACAAATTGTTCATAACATCAATAACCAAATTTAATCCAATATACAAATTGTTCACATATGAACCCCCACACACATAACTCATAAATTGTACTTTTGTTTAAATATTAAAGATTTTATTTATATAAAATTGCAAAAAAAACATTTGTTTTATTAATAACCATTGTTTAAGATACTTTAGTTGTTTATATTGGTCCTCACGATTATCGTAAAATACTAGGTTATCACATGAAAAACCATATATATATATATATATATATATATATATATATATATAGGGTATATTTCAAATGTCATTATGTTCATTTGTACAACCAATGCAACCCAATTAATTGAAATATTTATAGAAATGATGTGAGTTCATTTATTATGATTTGTATATTTATAAAAGATGAATATGGTTCATTAATTATGATCAATACTTTATATTAGGAAACGATCAAAACTTTTATGAAATCACATATTCATCAAATTAAATGGACGATTGAGATTGGGTTGTATTGGTTGTACAAATGTAAAGGGTTGTATAATAACCCACCTATATATATATATATATATATATATATATGGAAGAGTTTAAATGAGAACACCTTCATTTTATGAAAATGCGAGAACACCGACCCTTTATTATAGTGAATCACATGTGATACCCATGCGATAATGAATCATACACGGGCGTCAAAGGCCAAGCCGCCCACACACCACCAGAGTATTATCACATGTGATTTTATATAATAAAAAGTGTTCTTGCATTTTAATAAAATAAAAGTGTTCTCGTTTGAACCTCCCCCACATACATATACATACACATACATATATATATGTACATATACATACACATACACATACACACACATCTACTTCATAATTCTACACTTTATTTACAACATCTACTTTTTTTAATTATTATATTACCCGTAACAATCGCTTTCGACATCCAACTTTGAGAGTTTATTTGTCCTCTATCGGATCTCAAAATCTCTACTGTATGTATCTACTCCTACTGCTACTATTCATGACACCAAATCGTACAGTATTTGGTGTCCCATCAGTTATAGGGGCCGCTTACCAATCACTTACTAGGTAAGTGCTTACTGACGAGACTCGATACACTATCTTGCTTTATCATAACAATCACTTACTAGGTAAGTCTTTTACCCGCTAAACACTTATCAGGTAAGTGTCTTCTCGGTCATTGTTTTGCTTCTTACCGTATATGATTATCGGTCCTTGTCATGCTCACTTGTGGGGTAACAGTAATACTACTAAATGGAAGACTTTTACCAACACAATTTTTTTGGGAAATCTGTCGCTAAAAAGGGTGATTCGCCACAAAACCGTCACAATGGTGGGTAAATTGTTATTGGGAAACTCAAATCAGTGACAGATTAACCATTTACCGTTGGTATTTTCTTGAAAACTCGGATTTTAGCGGAACCATTGGTATTTTCTAGGTGATCGGAACTTTCCTTAGCTGATTTTTGTGATTAAAAGTCGTTTGTTTTGTAGTGTAACCGTTTACCCAGTAATACTTATTGGATCTCAAAAAAAAAAAATGATATGTGCATATGTAAATTGACATTCTATACTTTCACATTGTGATTTCAATTAGTAATGACAGTTTATTATGATCTCGTTTCGAACATCCGTTTTTACCGCCGATGTATTAAGGTGGCAAAATTTTGCGCCGAGCGAATGCACGAAGTAATAGCAGAAGAGTGGGATCAAGAAGCAGCCGACGGGTTTAAATGGCAGCAAAGGTGGGAAGCGGTGATGTCTAGTAGTTTCGAGAGGGCCGACAACGAAGTCCTTTCCGAGGCAGCAGCACCCGAAATAGTGGGATCGACCGCTGTTGCAGTCGTCTTATCGGGCTGCCAAATCATCGTATCCAACTGTGGGGACTCCCGAGCTGTGCTTTGCCGCGGCATGGAAACAATCCCTTTGACAGTTGATCAAAAGGTCTCTCAATATTCTCTTCACAATTGCTTTGGTTGAATTATATGTTAGACACATCACACCTTTCAATCACTACAAAACAAAGAGGCTTCACCGACATCTTTTTCTGTCGGTAATTTACGGATTTGTGGCGGGTCACCGACGGATTAACCATCACCGATGGATTTTTCTGTCTGCGATTTATTGTCTGCTTCCTTAAATTAAGTCCTATAAAGCGGTTTATTAGGACACTTAAACATTGTTGACGTCCTATAAATCCGATTTTGTTGTAGTCAGGGCATTTGTCGATGATTTGGAAGGTTAAAATAACTTCGTATTTCTTCTTACTTTTACAGCCCGATAGAGCGGACGAACTCCTGAGAATTGAAGAACAAGATGGGAAAGTCATAAATTGGAACGGTGCACGAGTATTTGGAGTTCTCGCCATGTCGAGAGCTATAGGTATCTCACGTTTCACTATTGTGTATGACGGTTAAAGAAATATTCATATGTGAATCAATGAAAAAAATCCATTTGAAGATACATGTGAACCCATATGAATAATTTGTTATGTCGGTTCACGTATATATCTTCAAATACATTTTTTCGGGGTTTTTCCAATTATTCACATATGAACCTTTCTTTCTCACGATATGTAGGCGTTTTTATTTCAATAGGGCCCTACTTGATAATAGAGCTGATCATCTGCGGGCTTTTGTCGGGCCTAACCTATCTTTCTTGTCCAACGGGCCTAACATATCAAACCCAAGCCCTTATTTGCGGGCTTGAAAACTTTTCCATACCCGTATTATAAATGGGCCAGTCTTATGAGTCATAATTAAGTGAAAGTTAATAAGTACTACAAATTTTCAATTGTTATAAAAATATTAACGGGCCGGGCTGCCCAAATTTTCTTTTGCATCGCAACAAGCGAGTCCGAGTCCGTCCATTTCTTCAAGAATAGTAGTCCAAGCCCGCTTTTCTAGCAGGCCGGACCCCCGTGAGCAACTCTACTCGATATGCTGATGAAACGATAATAGATTTCTTGCGTACTTTAATCAGGTGACCGCTACTTAAGACCATGGATCATACCCGTGCCGGAAATAACTTTCACAACAAGAACCGATGAGGATGAGTGTTTGATACTGGCAAGTGATGGATTGTGGGATGTGATGTCAAACAATGAGGTGGGTGAGGTAGCTCGTCGAGTTTTAAGACGTCGGCGTCGGTATGCTATCGACAACGAGTCACCGGCGGCACAAATCCTTGCTGACAGCCTGATAGAGATAGCCGTGGGAAGAAATAGCTCTGATAACATATCGGTGATTGTTGTTGATCTAAAGTCAAAGAAAAAGCAACAACGTACATGATCGAGAAGAATAGTTCGATATCTCGATAAAAGAATCCGATCAAACGGCAAGCTCGTACAAACCTGACTCGTAAACAAGATCATTCCTAACTTTTACTTGGTTTGATCCACGATCTATCGATCACAATGATGACATTGTTGTTGATGTTCTTGGTAAAAAAAACAAGTATCCGACTGATGTTTAACATGTTATTTTATTCTAGTTTTGAGTACTTTCCCGATCGTATTGCAACAATCATCGTGGCTCGAGGTTTGTGTCCGACTCCATGTTAAGCACGTGGCACGTAATGGCTGAATGCGCGAGCTAAATGCGCGACTTGTGTTACGTGATGTTGATTCATTCTTACATTTTTAATATCTTAATGTAGTTTTTATTATCATTGACTTATTGAGTAAAACAGATATCTTATTATAATTTGATAATTCTAAATTGGAATTATTATTACTTAATATCTATTAAATATATCAAAAACATATATTAGACTTGGTATCATGTGAGACCAAGGGTTTTTCGTGAGATCCGTAAGACCAATTCTCAACCATTGGATTAGATCTACAATCTGACAATCTGAACATTCATAAACGTCACGAGACTTCTCAATAATCATAAAATTGCCACCGTGCAACAGACCATTAGATCATTAGCTTATATAGTTGATCAATGAATAGAAATTGGTCTTGCGGGTTTCACGAAAAACCCTTGGTCTCACGAAAAACCCTTGGTCTCACGTGAACCCAACCCCATATATTATGTATATAATATTATATATGATATAGAGATTTACCGTCAAGAACTTGACTTTATATAACATTAGAAACTTTAATAAACCCAAACATAACTCGAAATGATCTTATGAGTAAGGATGTGTAGAAAGTCATATGATTCAATTATAACTGATTGTACATTAATTTTAGAATTTTTTAACCATAATAGAAGTTACGGTGGATTTGCAATGATATATCAAGTGTTTTTTGTTTCAATATTGTGTATCAACCAATTATAATTGATACATAAAATCATATACCATTTACCAAATCGGCCCAGCCTCGGACCGGCCAAGGATCGGTTATAGGACCGAAATCTGGGATCGGTTATAGGACCGAAATCTGGGACCGGTTATGGATTTGGGGTGTTTTGCCGGTCCGGGACCGGTTATGGCCCGGCCTGGCTAGGCCTGATTTAGAAAAATGTAGCTATGTATTTTAAATGTAGCCGTTATTGGCTGTTTTTTTGTATTTTTGTCTTCTAAACACTATATAGAAGTGTCTTGGTTGAAGAGTTTACATACCAAGTTCTCGATTCGCAAAAAATGCAAAAAGTTCACAATTCTCGGTTTCTCGCTAGATTTTGTAAGACAATGTAATTTTAATTATAATAAAACGCATTTTTAAAGTGTATTTGAGTGACCCAAGTACAAATTTTATAATATATTAATAATATATATCATTAAAAAAATTTAAAAATATTATTTTTTAATGACCGGTTACAATAAAGCTTAACCGGGCCCACCTTTTTCGATGGGGACGGGACCGGTTATGGCCGGATCTGTTGAGGCTTGGGACTAGAGGTGGCCAAAAATCGGTCCCGGGCCGGGCCATAATCGGTTACGGCCGGTCCCGATCAAGACAAAAACGTTCCATAACCGGTCCCGGTTCCGGTGAAATCCTCCATAACCGGTCAAGCTTACCGGTAACCGGTTAAGCCGTCCGGTCCCGGTTCCGATCCCATAACCGGTTA